ACACCTTTGATAAAGTCTTGCGTGTGTCAGCTTCCTTTTTATAGATACAAAAATATGTAAATGTACTGATCTGAATTATAATATTTCTGACTGTCAAAATTTCCCAGATTCACATCGAAGTGAATCGAATCGAATTAAATCGAATCGCCATGGTCGCCCCTGGTTAAAACCAGTTATGAGGTTACTGAGGTCTGGACCTCACAATTAAAGTTTTTTCAGTAAAAACTGCTGTGAGGCGTTGACTTTGATGGAAAATATGACATTATAGCTCATGAAAATCAGAAATACAATGTCTTAAATTATTAGAATAATTCCTTAAGATCATAAGACCAAAATGTCCAACATCAGAAATGTATATGCATTTATACAGACAATACTTTGCTTGGGGTTCTTTTTCACAAATTATTTGTGGCAGTTCTGAGGTGTTACTGAACCTCAGGTTAAATTGATAAGGTACCAGCCTTCAGCTCGTCTACATTTATGAGTCAGGTGTTTTTCATCTTCCTTTTAACAATACCCCACAGAGAATTGAAAGGGTTCAGGTCCTGCTACTTGGCTGGCCGTGCACAAGCACAGTAATAACATGGTCAGCAATGGCTGGAAATGTATGGCTGGACTTCAAACAGCTTAGATTCAGTGCCTTTTCCTCCAGACTCTAGGATTTCCATAGGATTTCCAAATTTAATCAGCCTGCCCAAATTCTTGAATAGATTTTTCTTGACAGTTCTCAAGGCTGCGGTCTTTCCTGTTGCTTTTGTACATTTTCCTACCAACGTTCTATTATTATGTTTCAATACAGCACTCCACAAACAGCTAGCCTTTTCAGCAATGACCTTCTGTGGCTTACCCCCCGCCCCCACCCCTGCAGAGCGTGTCAGTGAGCATTAAATAATTAACCGAAAGATTCTAATGTTTACCTCTGCCGACCCATAGAAGCCTCACCCACCTTTTGTCCAAACTGTCTGTTTATTATTAGCAGCCAGTCAGAGTAAGGCCTTAAAGGGGGGAGGAGCTAAAATGGCTCATTGCAGACAAACGTCGAACGGAAAGGCAGCATCAAACCCAAGAGTGCAAGAATGAAAATGTGGAGTTGAAAATTAGCATCATATGTCCCCTTTAAGTTTGTTTTTATTTATGTTAGTTAACGGCGTAGCAGGAACTCACAAAATGTGTGGGATTGCACGTGTTGCCCACCCACCAGGCTCTAGCAGCAAATCACCACTGGAAGGTGGCAGTGACATTTAATTTAATATTTGGGAGATGCATTTTCCATGTTAATGTAAAATGTATTAATGCAAAATCCACATGATAAACCCGGTTTTGATGCAGAGTCAAATAGAAATAATAATTTTTTAAAAAAGCAAAAAAGAGCTGCCTCTAAAGCAAGGATGTCAAACTCATTTTGCACTGTGGCCCACATACAGCTCACTTTGATCTTAGGTGGGCTGGACTTAAGATCAAAGGGAAACTCCCCTTTCTCTCAGTGTACGGAGGTTTAACTGCACTTTAATCTCTGAGACATCGCCATATAAGAAAAAGAAGTAAACCGAAGTGCAGTTGTAGTTGATAAAATTAATCTGTCTGTGCAACTTTTTGGGCTTCAACTGAAATCAATGTGTAGAGAAAAGGTTCTGGTAGTTCATTTATTGAAGCAAATGATTTATGTAAATATTTATATATTTTATTTATTTGTTTCAATTTGAATACACTGTACATACACAATGTGTATCTATTGTTTTTTGTTAATTGTTTATCTATTACTTTATTACTGTTAGTGTGTATAAATTGAAAGTATTTGTCAGCAGAACAAGCTGTAAAGTTTATGAAAATATTGGTAAAAATGTATGCCCTCCTTCACGTTTTCCAAAGATGTCCAGCGGGCATCTTGGCCAGGCTTTTTCTGGCTCCCAGTCCTTACGTTTGACACCTCTTCTCAAAACTTTTCTTTTTCAACTGAATCATGTATTTAAAAACATCTTTGGATGCGCCCCTCGAAACCTGAAAAGGTGCCTCTCAGTTGGAAACACTGTTTATGCAGAACATTTATAGTTCATTAACACTTTACATAATTAATTGCAGCATCATGAAAATGCCAGTATATGTATATATGCAGTGTATATGCAGGCAGAATGTGAGAACTGATGAAAATCACCATCTTTCCTAATTAAAATTTTACTTTACTGTCTGAGAATCCAGAGTGTAGAATGTACTTGAAGTAAAAAATAAAAAATAATTTAAAAAAATCACAGAATAGAAGCCTGATTATTATTCTCTGTTCTCTCCCCCACACTAAAGACTACAAGCACATTTACTACATTCTCAAAGGAAGGAACAAGATGTCCTAAACATTAGATCTTTGAGTTGGTAGAATGATTCAGATATGAGCAGCAGAGTATGTGAGTTATGCTCTCTGTTTCCTCCATGATGATATGAATGCATACTCTGTGGCTTAAAAGCGTTAAAGCACCAGTGTTTCACTGAAATTCTTATTACATATAATGACATATAATGATGCAGAGTAGCCATATGGTGTCCGCTGTTGGCTAGTTTCACTGACCTTAACTCCCACAGACATGAAAGCAAGGATAGATTTTACACATACACAGCTACTGAGATTTTTGTGCGGAATAGGTGATGTTGCACTCTCTTTTGATGATGTTCTTTTCCAAGGTTTAGGTATGGGAATCTCCCCACTGTCGAACAATGGAGGATAATGTAATATTTTACTGTCAAATATTTTAAAAAAGGAAATAGAAAAATAATGGGCTATGAAATATGTTACATTAATTTTGAGAACAAAATAAGAACATAATCACAAATCTTAAATACCCAAAATAGGAAAACTGAAACATGACAATATAGCCCCTCTACATCCCCTACTGGCATTGCAAGAGTGTCTAGGTGCTTGGGCTTAATTGACAATTGTCCACAACTTGAATTGCCTATGGCAACTTAACATGGCCACCATGCCATGCCAGTCATGCTCTCTTGGTTTTAACTTGCAGTTGACACAAAGCCCCTGTTTTCCTCCAGGGTCAGCATCCATTTTATGTTGTGGCTTATGAGTCATAACACAAATTGCAGAAATGATCCAATTATGTATAATAACCCTGCAGGAAATTTTGGTTTAACCATATCTCTTGAACATCAAGCATAGAGGAGCCCCTGAGCACAAAAAGCAAAACAAACAAACAAACAAACAAACAAACAAACAAACAAACAAACAAACTCAACAGTTCTCATTTACTGTTTCAGAAGTTACATCAGATTTGAACATTTACACTTATATTTTTTTCTTATATTTTTATTTTCGTGTTTCTGATTTCAGTTTCAATTCATTTACTTTAAATGATTAATATACAGTATGCGCGCGCATGCGTGAGAGCAGCGCATAAGTCATCAATTTATCTTCCATCATTTGCTTGCTTGTTTGTGGTACACCTCCATAATTTCCTCTGCACCGTATTGCAGTTAAAACTTCAGATCCATTAAAATTCGTCTCTGCGCTATTAAATTGTTCTAAAGGTTACCCGTGTTCTCTGTCTCAAAACTCCCTCTAGTCTATAGTCTCTCATTATAACAGCCAATTACCATGATTGGAGTTAAACAGACACGAGACGCAAAATGTCATCAAGTTGGCTCTTAAATACAAAGCACTAATAGGAACACTAAATGATTCTGCGCTTTTCAACCCATGCACGCGTTTACCTTATATTTCCCTCTGCGGTTCTGTTTAATCCAAGAGATGCCAGAAAACTGGCATCGCATGCTTCCTGCTCTCACTGCGCTCTGGAGATTGCCTGATACATGTTGATTTACATCAGTGTCATGTACCATCTATAAATCTGAAAATTCATCAGTGATTTAAGAGTTTACATGCTCTTACCTCAACCACCACATGTATCCATATTCGTAAGGGAAAAAGCTGTTGGGGTCAGCGCAGCAGTACTTCAAGTCACTGAAACCGCAGCAGTAGAGTGCCGTGGTGTCACCGTCCGCTTTCGGACACGTGAAGTTCTCCACGAGCACGTTTTCTTCGGTGTAGTAACTTTCGCAGTCCGAACTCATGTCAGACGTAAACTGCGCGCACTCGGAGAGCCAGATGCGCGGTGATTAAAACCCGGTTTCATTCCGTCCATTTCCCACTGCCGCAACTTCTCATCACCGTCAAACAGTGTGATCCAGAAGCTGCACCGCACTCCCTCTCTATCTCCCCCACCCTGTCGTCATGGTACACAGTGCATTCGTATAATCCAATCCCCGATATCTTTAACTAATCTATGTTAATGATCAACTACATTACCTAAATGATAAATTTGGAAAGATTTACCTAATTAAGTTGCAGTATGCATTCAGGAAGCAGGTAGCTGTTGACCACATATAAAGACAATTCAAAGCTGAGGGCTCTGCCCTCATGGCACAGGTGACAATCAAGTGCGCCAAGCACGTGCCAGATGCATTTCTCTTGTCACCCTGCGACCATAAGCACAGTGGCGAGCTAGGTGAATTGGAAACAATGCATTAACGTACCTTTAAGATGTGGCAATCATGACCAATCTCCTTCTTATGGCTTTCCTGGTCTGGAAATGCCGTGTGAAAGCGTTTTAAATCAAATTAAATCGATCGTTTAATTATTTTAACATGAAAGTAAAGCACGATGGCGCTACGATACCAAAATCTCTTCTGTAAAAGTGCTAAAGAGACCAAGGTTACAGGGGTGCCTCCAGAATTTTGTTTATAGGCGTGCAGATATGGGGGCCCCTACAAATATTATGGTGGTTTAATAAAAATGGAATTTCCAGTTTTATTATGCTGCTGTCAAATATAGGTTACTTGAAAAATGTGGCAAAAAAGAGAAAAATAAAATAATTATACATCTAGTTTATTTCCTGCTATTAAAATTGATATCATTATAAAAGTCACCTTTAATAATGAAAAATTGTATTGAACATTTAATATTTTAAAACTGAAGTGCTGACTTGTGTGACATGGTGTGTTATCCAGCTGGAAGCAGCCATTATGAGCTGGTAAACTGTGGTCATAATAGGATGCACATGGTTTACAACAACACTGAGACTGTGCCCTTCAAACCACGATTCATTGCAATTAAGGGGCGTCAAAGTGTGCAGAAAAAAAAATATTCCCCACATCACAATCAGCGGCCTGGATTGTTGACCCCGGGCGGGTTTGGTCCATGGATTGATGCTGTTGTCTGTGTTGTCAAGCCTACTATCTGCAGCAGTCTTTTAATGTCCATTTTTATTTGGCCTCTGCCCACTGCAGACTCAGGCTTCTGTTTGTGGCTTATATGGTCTTTTGTTTTTTAAGCCCATTCTTCACAAGACTGGATGGATTTTGCATGTGGAGAACCTTTTCTGTTCAGCACTTTTGTAAAGTGAACTTAACTTTCTGTCAGCTCCAACCAGTCTGGGCATATTTCCAATGACCTCTGTCACCTTTTCTTTTCTTGACAATCCACAAAACTGATGATTTAACACACCATACAAAATTGTCACTGTTACGTCATTGCTTCCCAGTGGTCTCTTGTTTTACTATGTGTTATATTTGAACCTGCCTTTTGTCTCACTTTTTTTTGTCTTTTCAAATTTTAGCAGATCTGTATGTGCCATGACTAAAATGTTGGTTCATTCTGTCACACTGAGGATCCCTTATAAAAATCTCCATGACTTGAAAAAAAAATGGACTGCAGTCCCACTCTACATCCTGAGTTGATTTAAATGCTGTTACTATCTATCCTCTTCACTTCTTCACTCTGAATGGAGACATGAGAGACAGCAAGTGATTTCTTTCACAGCTACAAGTACCCCAGCTTCTTTACCTGGCATTCAGAGGGCACTTGGTGCACTCATCCTGATCATCAAGCCCTCACATTGTTCTGAATTGACATCACAAATGTGAAAGAGTCTTGAAATAGGTGGTTTGACCTGAAGTGAATGTCTTTTGGCCACTGAAAATTGAGAGCTTCATGCATAGATATGAGTATCCACACATCAATCCATTTTCTTAACTATTTATCTAATTCAGAGTCATGGGAGCCGTAATTGGACTTAAGACAGAAATGCTCTCACATACACATCTATGGTCAATTTAGAAAAATCACAAATTAGCGTAACAAGCATATCTTTGGAGAGTGGGAAGAAGCTGAAGACAGAGCACATGCAGGCACAGGGACAACATGCAAACTCAACACAGCAACGTCCAAGCTAGATTCAAACCCAAGACCTGCTGATGTAAGGCAACTGTCATTTCTGCACTGAATAAAAAAGGAAAACCACTCCAATGCTCCAGCTCAGTCACTTTAGTCTGTTTTTCCTCCTCGTCGAGCAGAACAATCCTTTAGAAATCAAGTCAAATGCTTCACCTTTAACCCTGGAGAACCCATGGGGTCAGATCCGACCCCATTGGTTTACTAGGGAAACCATGGGTTCTCCAGGGTTAAATACATTTGACTGATTAAATTAATCATTAATACACATTTTAAAGTCCAGAATTTGCATCCATCTACTCATTCACATTTATCTTTATTTGTACAATTTCCTGAAGCCTGGTATCAGATCTAGGAAATAATATTTTATAGGTACACTTCTAGATGAGATACCAGACCATTGGACAGTATTTTGGAAAAATTATATGACTAGAACTTTATGTAAGCTTCATACTTTTGTGATCAACATTTGTTTGTTTTTTTTAACATTAGTGACCAAATGCTAAATGAACACTCCTGTGATAAACTTTTAATACAGTAAAACTCACATTATCTTGAGGCATTTTCCTTCAAAATGATTGGAAAGGCACGAACATGGTCAATAGGTGCATTTATTTGTTTTACCCTCACACCTTTATACAATCCAACTGATTTTGGGAGATGACTCATCCACTCTTTGTCATTAGAAAGACTGCAGTTTTATGAAATTTCTCCATTGGCTTTATTTTTAAACATAATTTCTAAATCCATCTTATATTGAGTCCTTTCTATGAACCCAGCAGTTATTGAAGATCTCTGTAGAGATGGGAGAACCTGTTGTATGGGCGACCAACTCGGCTGCACTTATCAATTAATGGCCAGACAGACGGTTGACAAGAAAAAGTATATAGAGCCCACTCAAAGTCTGCCAAACATCATTTCAAGGACTCAAAAAACACAAAAACCAGATAAACACAGACACACACACAAAGAACTATGTGCGTCAAGCACAGCATACTGGCAACATGTGTTATGGGGGCTTTTCTCTGTGGTAGGTACAGACAGATTGTTCAGAATTAAGAGACAAATACTGGAAGAAAACTAACTTTAAAAACATGCTCCAAAACAGCAAGGTTCACTCTTTATCATAACAACAAGGTCTCTGTTTCTACTTGTTAAGATGTGCATGGAATTAAATCCAGATATAAAACTATTAAAAAAAAAAAAAAAAGCACATCTTTTTAAAATTGATATGAAGTCTACTATGAGGAGTCCGTAAGGATAAAGACAAACTAAATCCAATTAAGTTCTTAATCATTTAACAAACACAAAAGAGGGCTTAACAGGAGTGAGGAGAAGAACAGGATGACTTATACATATGAGAGTAATCAGGGAAATAGAGACAGCAGGGTAAGGAGACACAGCTGCATTAAATCAAGACCACTTGTTTGCAAAGGAGTGAGCTCCCTGGTGGGCTGCGAAGTTACTGTAGGTGGGCCACAGTACTAACAGGAATTCAGTTTAAAATGACTCACAAGTATGTACAGTGAGATATTTATCTACTATTAATATATGTATTGATTGATATAAAAAATAAACAAACTGTTAAAAGGAGGTGGTAAATTTCTGATATTACTCATTACTCCGATTCTAAATTTGCTGCTGTTATATTGAGGTTTGTGTGTAGTAACGGACGGGTCACATAGTGGCCTGGGTAGCATTAGCAATTTATAGCCAACAGCCTGTGTTGTTTATGTTTTTTGAATAAAAAAGGCAAAACATCAGTTTCACTTGTCTTTTAATTAGAGTGAAGATTTAAGACTGGGTGGGCCGCATGGGACTTTCTGGTTCTTGAGTGGCCCACAGCACTCTTGACTTTGGGGATGGCTGATCTAAACAATGGGACAGGAAGCAAAACACATAAAATTTAAAAAGAAATGATTGATAACACTGATTGCTTCTTTTATATCACATTTCTTCTCTGCTTGAGCACCCAAAGTGATTCATACTAAAAGCCTCAATCAGCCATTTTCACTCATACAAGTACTTTCTTCCATTCCTAAGTGCTAACATTCCCACTGTGATGAGAAACTAGGCATTCAGTATCTTGCTGAATACTTGAGCAACACCTGTGGTAGGTACAGACTGGAACAGACTGGCATAGAACCACTAACCTTCTGATTAGTGAGCTACAGCCACGTTGATACCGAATAAGGAAATGCTGAAACATCAAATTTACATACAGGATAATGCTCAAACAGAACAGAGGGCGAAGAATACTATAGAACTACTGAAAAAATCAGAACCTAACAAAAAGCAAAACTGTGAACAAAGAATTTTGAAGCATTTTGAACAGCTTGCAGGTGTCATATTAGATCACAGCCATATAAACATATAAAGAGATGCAATAGTCTAAACGAGAGGAAATAAAAGTGTGTATTACTCTCAAAGTCATGTGGTAGGAGGAAGGCTTTGACCTTGGTGAGGAGCCTTAGTTGAAAGAAGTTTGTCTGAACTACAGAGCTAATCTGTTTATTAAATTTTAAAGCATGGTCAAAAATCACGGTTCCTTGCAACTGGATGACAGAAAGAGGCTAAGAGACTGTTTTGATGAGAGTTGTTATACAAATGTGTCTAGCCTACATTACAATAGACGATCTCTTAAGATTTTTTGGACCTGAATAAAAGGAAAGGTCCTGTCAAATTCAAGACCACTGCATTCCTTAATATATGCTCCTCTGAAGTAACAATCTCAGTGAAACACTCATTAAATGACTTTTAACTCGATCAACTGGTCAAACTTTATGGATTTTTCTATATTTTCTTTTACTGACATAGTGTGATAATTAGCTTTAAGAGTTTTAAATAATGAGTCAGCATATGTACAAGTAATGCCTTTGAGCCAAAATGGGTTTGTTTTTTTGCTAATCTTGTCACGCAGCAGCCCAG